AGGCAGAATTATAATTTTTAAAAATATTTTATTTTATTGATTTTAGAGAGAGAGGAAAGGAGAGGGAGAGATAGAAACATGGACCAGCTGCTTCCTGCAGGCACTCTACTGAGGATCGAGCTCCCAACCCAGGCATGTGCCCTGACTGGGAATCGAACCAGTGACCTCTTGGTTCATGGGCCAACGCTCAACCATTGAGCCACAGCAGCCAGGCAGAACTATCACTTATTAGCAACATTTTACAGATGACTAAACCGAGGCACAGAAAGGTAAGTTACTTTAAGTTAGGCCACTACCAAGTTGCAGAGATAGGATATAAATCCACTGTGGGCTTAATCCCCACACTAAACTGAGAAAAGTGTGGCTCTAGCTGGTTTGGCTCAGTGGATAGAGCATTGGCTTGTGGACTGAAGGGTCGTGAGTTTGATTCCAGTCAAGGGTACCAGCCCAGGTTTGGGCTCGAACCCTAGTGGGGGGTGTGTGGGAGGCAGCCAATCAATGATTCTCTCTCATCATTGATGTTTCTATCTCTCTTTTTTTTTTCTCTTCCATCCTCTCTGAAATCAATAAAAGTATATTTAAAAAGAAAATGTGTAGTTGAGTCAATAGACTCAAAAAGGTTAAAAGGGAGGATAAGGGGGTATAAGGTGGGAGAAAGGACCTGAGAGCTCAATTAAGTGGTATGTTGAGATCTCTATTTCAGTTTGATCTCACTTTTGTGATTTTTGAATTTTATATAAATGAAATCTTACAGTGTGTTCTTTGTGTCTGGATCTTTCATTCATTGAGATATTCACTCATACTGTTGTGCCTAATTGCATTTGTGTGTTCTCCTTGTTGTGTAATATCCCATTGTGAGAACATATATTCTACTACTGATGGAGACAATATTTGGGTTGTTTCCAGTTTGGGTTATTATGTATAAAGCTGGTATAAATATTTTTGACTATGTTCCTTGGTGAACATCTGTATTGCATTTCTGTCAAGCCTGTACACACAGGAGTGAGGTTTCTGGGTCATAGAGGTCAGACTATAGATTTTAAAACAATGTTAGTTATATTTTGAAATTTTGGGCTACTTCAGTAGTAATATTTTGAAAGGAATTTTTTTTTCTTTTCTGAGTAGCAGGTCTCAATAGTGGGTTTGAAATATTCAGCAACTATGTTGTAAACAGATGTGCTCTCATCCAGGCTTTGTTGTTCCATTTACAGAGCACAGGCAGAGTCGTTTTAGCATAATTCTTAAGGGCCCTAGGATCTTCAGAATGGTAAATAACCACTGGACTCGAAGTCACCAGCCGCGTTAGCCCCTAACAAGCTTTGAACCAGGCATTGACTTCTCCTTTCTAGCTATGAAAGTCCTAGATGCCATCTTCTTGTAATATAAGGCTGTTTTGTCTGCATTGAAAATCTGTTTAGTGTAACCTCCTTCATTTGTTATCTTAGCTTGATTCTCGGGGTAACTGCTGCAGCTTCTACATCAGCACTCGCTGCTTCACCTTTTATTTTTATGTTATTGAAATGACTTCTCTCCTTAAACTTCATGAGCCAACCTCTGCTGGCTTCAAACTTTGCTTCTGCAGCTTCCTCACCTCTCTCAATCTCCGTAGCATTGAAGAGAGTTACTACCTTGTTCTGGATTAGGCTCTGTCTTAAGGGAATGTTGGGGCTGGTTTGAACCTCTATCCAGACCATTAAAATTTTCTCCATTATCAGTAATAAGGTTGTTCACCTTCTTATCATTGGTGTGGTCACTAGAGTCGCACTTTAAATTTCCTTTAAAAAACTTTCTTTTTTCCCCCCCAAATATGTTTTTATTGATTTCAGAGAGGAAGGGGGGTAGGGAGAGACAGATAGAAACATCAATGTGAGAGAGAAACATGAGTCCATTGCCTCCCATATGAACCCTGACCAGGGATCGAACCCTAAACCTTTTGGTGTACAGGATGATGCTCCAACCAACTGAGCAACCTGACCAGGGCTCTGGTTGATTTTTAACACAGTTTATAGTATTAGGTTACAGTACTTTCTCTTTTGTTTTAGCATGGCTAGCCTTTGCTTTGAGTCTTATGTCTTTTATTTTTTGTTTGTTTGTGGAAAGAGGTGTTCTGTAAACGTGGGCCATCTTTCTCGAAAGCCTATTTAATATTTATTATATCACTAAATTGATTGTTTAAAAATGTGATTATTCATTTTACAGTTTTTTAATAACTTGCTATTATAATAATGTCAAAATTATATAGGTCTACAGTTGGATTTTCTAATATTTGGAATTTTTAGTTCAGTTTGTCTCATCCAGTCAGCTATCTTTTTTTTTTCTTTTCTGGTACTTCTTAGACTTGTCCTGAAATTGAAGCCTAAATTCACGGTGACCAAACTAATTGTTTATAAGAGCCAGTCAGATACAGTAAATCAAGGAAGCAGAGTTATTGCTATTTCCTTTTCTCTTCATGTATTACTCCACTTTATATGAAGACCAATTATATTGCTTGAATTAAAAAAAAACACTCTTGTGGAAATCCCAATCCTTTCTTTAGATAACAATTTTCCACCATTATTTTGTACTTTGGTTAAAGCTCTTACTGTGAATTGTTCACAGTGGTATCGTCTATTTCTATGAAACAGATTCATTGTGCAGGAATAGTCTTTATTTTCTGAGGCACTGTATACTTCCCACTTCTGATAGAGGCATAAGGTAAGTACTATTTCATTTTTTCTTAACGTTACCATAAGAAAACATATATCAGGCAAGATGCAGATAACAGATATCTATCCGGTGCTTGCAATGTGTGAGGCACTGTTGCTCTAAGTACTTTCATGTACAGAATCATTTAATCCTCATCACAAGATGGGTAACTGTTATTATTCCACTTTACAAATCAGGAACTGAGGTACAGAAAGATCAAGTAATTCCCCAAGATGAGCCCTGGTCATAAATGATGGAATCTAAATTCAAATGCAGACAGTCTGGTCCAAAGTCCATGCTCTTGTAGCCACCATGCTACACTTTCATAGCTTCCTGTCTTCAGAATCCCCCCAAAATCAAGGAGAGTGTTTTAACTTAAAATCACGTTCACATTTATGATTGTTACATGGGACTACAAATAATTACTGAGCTTAGACAAGTTTTCCAACTTAAAATAAGTACATTCATTCATTCATTCATTCATGCATTCCTATGTTATTAGTAAAATAATTGAACTGCTTGAGTGCCTGAATTTTCATCCAGGGGCAGAAGGAAGAGTTTCCACGTGGAATACATTTTAACAAGAGAGTAGGAGACCCAAGTCAAGATGTTGTCTGATTACATGCCATAAAGTCTCTTTAGTTCTATGGCTTGTAGCTAAAAGCATCCTAACTGATAGATTCACTTTCCTTTAGGTTTATATTGTAAAGAAAGAAACCATATTGTGATCCACTGAAGGCCGGCACTCTATCCACTGAGCCAAACCAGCTAGGGCAAGGTGATCAGATACTGAAGCTAAATATTGAACAGTGAGTACAAAGAAAGATTTATTAATTATTTAATGATAACTGAGTCATGTGTTAAGAAAACAAAGAGTTATAAAGTCATCAAAGCATTTTAATCTTAATAATCCCCAAAGGAAGTAGTAGGATACATAGGAGAGTATAAAGTTTGTCAATGTCATTAAGAAAGAAGGATAATCAACTATGAGAAGACACCTCCTCCTAACAGAATTATGCACATAAAATATATTGTCCACTTTTCACTGCGAATGTTTTTCTGGGGTCACCACTCATTTGAAAAATTTATGTTTGACAGATGGTACCTAATGCAGCTTTTTCCCCTTCACCTATTGTGATGAGGAAACCTTTGCCAAGATTTCACAATATGACAATTGCTCCCATTTCCTAAAGGGCAAAGATGAATCACTTTCTCTTTGGATTAAGAACATGTTAGGATGGCTCAGCAATGCATTGACACAGTTTACTTGCTGACATTCAATGCTGTATATATTTTGGGGAGAAGATTCCTGTTTGTCTCCAGAGAATAGCTAGTTACTGCTATTAGAGTGGAGTTACGAAAATTCAAAACTTTTTTAAAAATAAAAATTTTTGCAAAGCATGCCTATTATTACTCTTCCATTCCCAATCCAATCATTGTTAAGGAGTTCTTAGTCCATCCCCTGGTAGTTGATGAGAGCAATAACTTGTTTTGAAACAAGAGCTCAAAACACAAGCTCAGTTGATTCTTATCTTTCCTAAATTCTTATCTTTTAAAAAATATATTTTTAATTGATTTCAGAAAGAAATGGAAAGGGAGAGAAAGAAACATCAATGATGAGAGAGAATCATCGATTGGCTGCCTTCTGCACATCCCCCACTGGGGATTGAGCCCGTAACCCAGGCATGTGCCCTGACTGGGAATCGAACCGTGACCTCCTAGTTCATAGGTCAATGCTCAACCACTGAGCCATGCCAGCCGGGCATATCTTTTAAGACCAATGCAAAGTACCACCTCCTCCAGAAGGCTTTCTTGCAATTTTTACTTTTAGCAACACATACTTTTTTGGTGTTTGACTTTTATTTTCTTTCTAATTTGGTTGGTTCTCTATTTGTTTACTTTATATAACATTACCTTCTCAACATGTTTATGTGCTACATAATTTAGACATCGATATCTATGACATATCTATGAGGTAGATATCGGTGTCTAAACCATGATACATGTCCTCATAAACTAGTACCATTCCATAAAAGGTACATAGTAAGACCTCAGTGATCCTGAATATGAGAGGAATCCACTTTCTAGGTAATTAGCCTTAATAAGGAAATAAGTTATTAATGAAATCATTAGATGATGAAGTAGTTTATAAGATAGTCACGGGCTACTATTTTTTCCTTTAACTTCTAATGGCTCTGAAGTCTCAGTTTTGCCCCCTTCAGTTCATCCTCTGTACTGATGCCAGAGAGCTCTTCTTAAACCACAGTCTTGACTATGGAAATAAGTTATTAATGAAATCATTAGATGATGAAGTAGTTTATAAGATAGTCACGGGCTACTATTTTTTCTTTTAGGAGGATTGTATCAGCAGAGTCTTACTTCATCAGACTCAGCCTTCTTAGTCCTCCAGAGAGCTCTTCTTAAACCACAGTCTTGACTATGTCACTCTCCGATTCATGTTCTCCAGTGGCTTCCTATGATCTTCAGGGTACGAGAGCCAAAGTGTTTGGTTGGCCCCCAAGGCTCTCTGTGATCTGATTGTCAGCGCTCTCCTTATTTTCTCCTGCTCTTCCCAGCAAACCCTTCATCCCCACCTCAAAGTCCTCTCTCAGCAACTGCACAGGCATTGACTTGGCCTCTCTGGCCCTTCTCTCTCTGTTGTACATTGAATGTGTTCCCTCCTCCCACCCCAATTCATATGTTTAAGTCCTAACCACACTGTCTCAGAAGGTGACCTTATTTGGACATGGGTTTATTGCAGATATACTTAGTTAAGATGAGATCATACTAGAGTATGATGGACCCCTCATCCTATATGACTAGTGTTCTTATACAAAGGGGAATATGGACACAGACATGCAGACAGGGAGAGCATCTTGTGAAGATTGGAATGATGCTGCCACAAGCCAGGAGGGAGCCTTGAAATAAATCTTTAGTACCTTCAGAGGGATCATGGCTTTGCTAACACCTTGATTTTGGAATTCTGGCTTCCAGAACTGTGAGACAATAAATTCCTATTGTACGCAGCCACCAGTCTCTGGTACTTTGTTATGGCAGCCCTACAGAACTAACACATCTTCTTCCCATTTGGTGGAGTCCTTTGTACTCACTATTCAATATTTGGCTTCAGTATTTGATCACCTTGCCCTAGCCGGGTTGGCTCAGTGGATAGAGTATCGGCCTGCAGAATGAAGGTCCCTGGTTCAATTCCAGTCAAGAGCATATGCCTATGTTTTGGGGTTGATCCTCAGTGAGGGGCACGCAGGAGGCAGCCGATCAATGAGTCTCTCTCATCATTGATGTCTCTATCTCTCTCCCTCTCCCTTCCTCTCGGAAATCAATAAAAAAAAATTTGGTCACCTTTTTTAAAGGCTTCTTCTGACATCCCCTACCCTCTCCCATGGCTGAATTAGTTAGGCGTCTCCTCTGGTTCTCATGTCTTTTGCATTTTGACCATTGATTTCTTTGCTTGTATCTCACTGTGATCTGTGTCTTGTTCGTCTCTTTATTACAGCTCCTTGCATAAATGTCTTAATATGTGTTATTGGCAAAATGGATTTTACCTTTACTTAAGCAGCATCTCCATGGAGAAATTTTTGTCTCATAGGAATATGGTGACATTCATTTTATGAGGAAAATCCAGAGATATAAACAGCTGGAGGGAAAGTACATTAATCAAGGTCACTAGCATCTCTACAACACAGGCAAGAGGAACCTTCCACATTTTGGATTTATATCAAAGCATTTTGGAGACTAAAACCTCCTTTTGCAGTTGAAGATTTTGATATCTATTTTGTTAGAAATGGCTCCTCATTTGCACAGAGGAATCCAGAAAAGAAAGGAGTTCATTCCTTTGATACTTATATATCTATTAATAAAGTCACAAAATTCTTTTTGAGAAATTCAAATGAAGATTCAGAATTTAGATTTCTTTTCTAGTGTAAACTTTTTTCATCTCTTCCCAAGAAACCCATAAGAGTGTCTAAATTTCACTTAGAGTGAATGTTAGTACGCTTTTGTTCCAGCTCTCACTAGTCATAATTGAGTCAACACATTTTCTCCACAGCAGCTGAAAACTTAAAGTACTAGCTAGAATTAAGAATCTTAAAATCTAATCCAAGGCTCTTGATAATAATCTGAATCACAATTCTAGGGTTGTCTCTTAATATTAAAGATTCTATGGCTAGCATTGCATACCTAAGAATTTTCTGCTCCTGGTTGAATTTCCTCAGGAAATTCACTGTGGACTTAGTTGAAAAACAAAATGGAAAAGAGTGGAAGGATCACATTTGTGTCATAGCAAATCCTTTCTAAATCATCAAGAGACTGTTAGATGGCCACAAAGAGATTTTGTCAAGGGTTTTATACAAGTAAAATCAATGCATCCACTTTATCTGTTTTGAACATACTGGGGATGCAACTGGAGATGTCACTAAGAGTTAGAGCTGCTCGGAAACCTTTAAGGTGTCAATTGACCATATTTTTAGGTGCAGAAATGTTACATGGACACACCACAGATTCACCAGTGATTTACTTTTTAAAATCTGCAACAAATGGACCCAGGAATCTACAAGGGAATAAAAATATCATGAGAGCAAAGCTGAGTTGAAGCAGGGTAACTCAAAATCAATATTTTGCTTTTAAACTCTTAAGGGGAGACCCAGGAGGGCTGCACTCATTTTGTCCTCCTTACTTATTATCCTCAGAGGATGGGGTAAAAAGTGACAAGCCTGCTCCTTACTTCAGTCAGGACATTCTTCACTAACAAGCCACTTGTTAGTGTTCTTAGCTTCAATTTCCTGTTCAGTGGCTTTTTAATAGCTATGCTATCAGATGCTGGTTAAAAAAATCAAACTTACTCTCTATATTATATAAGTGAGACTGCATTTTGGGAATCAGGCCAAGAATAGTCAACAGCAAACTTGATGGAGAAAAGGGGGATCCTCTTGTTGGCTATACCTATGCAACAAAGGGCGGGGAAACACTCCCACTGCAGGCAGCTTGGCTGTGTCTTCTGCTGTGAATCAGAATTCCTTGTTATTTGAAAACATTTTAACTTTATTTTTATTGTTGACGCTATTACAGATGTTCTCATTCTCCCTTTGCCCACCTACACCCATAGAATTTTTTTGTCATTAAGTCAAACTCTTTTCTGTCCATGTACATTGACAGGTGAAAACTTTCTTTTCATTACTTGGCTGGTGTCTTCAATAGGGGCAAATGGTCAGTTGAACCATGTTTGATGATTTCTGGTATTGGAATTGTTTAGAAATCAAAGGCACAGGTCTGAAATGTCCACTTGTTCCATAAACATTATGGGCCTGAGCAATTTCCTTCATAGAAAAGACAAGAAGAGATGACCAGTGGTCCACGTCTTCCTTTTGTCATGAAAGATTGGGAGAAATGTGGGGCAAAATGAGTAAAGGAGTGACCAAGCTCAATTCTCTCATATATAAAAATGTTTCTCAGTGTAGTATTTGGGGTACAAACAGGAAAACAGAAATTGCAATAGTATGTTAACAGAGAGAATCTAATATGGGGGGATTAGTTTAACTGATTTCTGGGACTGAAAAACTAGAAAATAGTTATTGAGATAACTCAGAGATAGTAACTCCAGGAATGAACTATGACCTCTACGGTGTGGGGAACAAATAGATGGGGTTCAGGTTATTTGAACAGAGAAACTTGGAAGAGAGGCCCTGGAAAGTTGAAACACAAATCTTTGTGGGATGGGGCTGGGAGGTTGGGCGGGTAGGAGGAGGTATTGTTTGGATGGTGCTGGTGGGTTCAAGAACTCAAAGGAGGGACTTCTTAGAGCTGGGACCACTGAGGAGAGGTGCTACTCCTGAGGTGCCAACAGGAGACTGGTGCGCGCGCGCGCGCACACACACACACACACACACACACACACAAACACACACACAAACACACACAAACCTGGAGACTGGAACTATCTGCCACACCCAGAGAGATATGCTAACAGAAATAGTGAGCAAACAAAAAGAAGAAACCTCCTCACTGCCACCACTACCACCTTCCTGTCTTCCAATCTCCTTCCACATTGGCACAGCCAACAAGAAGCCAGCTGGAAAAGGAGGCATGAAATATGTAGAATCTTTAGGCTCAGCATCACAAAACATAGAATAGAGGAGTAGGTTTGGAGCAAAGAGCCAGTTGCCTACTAACTGGCCACTTGATTCACAGTATCCACTCTGTCAGGGTTGGCTAAGTATGCTGCAATAAAAAGCTCCCAGATCTAGATGGCCCAAAACAACAAAGGCTTACTTTTCAGCCTTCCTGCATGTTCATTTAAAAAATAAAAAAGGGGGAATTTGCCGGGAGCCGGTCCATCCTTGCTGCTTGACACAGTCGCTGCAGGGAAGAAGCATCTACACAGCATATGTTTCAAGGGACCTGGCGTATATGGCATACTGTTCTTAATATGTTTGCTCCCCTTCTTGTGGCTATGTATTTTAACCAAGGTCACCTCTGTGAGAAAGGTTGTTTCCCCAGGTGGGGATTTTTCCCTGAAGTTAGGGAGGGAATACAACCCCTTAATTAAGTGCCAGGCGGGTAGTTAAGCTACATAATCTTTACTCCCTGGAATGGAGATAAGAAACATCCTAACCTTTGTAATAGAAATTGACAGGATTAAAATCGGCTGGTACAAATATAGATGTAACAAGACAATAAACATCAGATCATCATCAGATCCTGATCAGATCCTAACCAGAGCTTGGCTGGCATTCCTAACCAGAACTTTGGCTGGAGATCCTGGCTAGAGGTCCTGACTAGGCTGCTGATCAACTGAAGGCTGTCTTCGTGTCATTCCTTCTTCGCCGACTCTGTCCACACCTTTGGGGACCCCTGGACCCGATGGGGTTGGACCCCAGCAGTTCACTGCATGTGGGCTGGGCCTCTGTTCGGCAAACTGATGCAGCAGCCACTGCCTGAGGCCTTGGTGGTCACCATGGCTGAGGGAGGGAGAGCTCTGGTGAATTGTGCACAGCTCTTAAAGCTTCTGTACATTTCTTTGGCCAAAAGAAATCACATGGGCATATCTGATTCCAAGACTGTGGAGAGGGAGTGCTATCCTACTACCTGGAAGAAGAACTAGAAATGGTTGCTATCAGGGAGAATGGATATTTATTAGGCAAGTTTCAACAAACATTTTTGCATAGTTGACTTTTATGTTTGGAAAAACAGATCAATCAGTACTGTGCGTCTTCCTTTTCCACCTAAGGATCCTTTAAGGCAAATTTTCAGCTGTGACAGCAATTAAAACTTACAGTGCAATTTCATTGCTAGTAATTGGTCGGTTTATAGATTTTCTATTTCTTCCTGGTTCAATCTTGAAAGGTTCTATGCTTCTAGAAATCTATCCATTTCTTCTAGATTGTCAGATTTGTTG